GCGGTCTGCTGTTGACGGTTTGTTTACTTGGTTCAAGGTTTCAATAAATCGCGTTTTTTTGTAGCAGTAGCAGTAGTAGCACAGGCACTGCTGATGGATGATGGACTGACATTCATGGGGCGGAGGACTTTTTATCAGCTCACAACTTAATATCACGAATATGACAACCTTAGCTAGTCCTCCATTTATTTCACATTTCTTTTCAAACACCATATTTTTAGTATTCAAGTTGTAGTTTTTTAGGGGGGGGGGGCAAAAAGATATGTTTGCCCAGAGGTTTTTCGTTTAGGGGGGGGGCAATTGCCCATTTTGCCCCAACGTAGATCCGCCACTGGAGAGGGACAATCACGGCAACATTACATTGTCCTCACCTCCTCATCTTTTTTTAAAGCTTTTATGCTGTTTTCTCAGCATGAAAGCTTATGTTTCAGCATGTTTCACCAGCATGGGACGATTTCGGCCGGTTTGTAAGAGATAAACTGTCGAGCAGTTCATACACAAGAACATAAGCCTAGCGCGTTGAGCTCACCGAGAACAGGCGACTGTTCCAGCCAGCTCCGGGCATCCGCCTGCTCGCCGATCGAGCCGTGTGCCGCACGACAGCCGTGCTCTCCGGCACAGTATACCAATCAGTGAAACGGCGGCCAGCCGCCAGCTCCGCACCGCGCTCGTTTGGAACCAATACCCGTCCCAAAACGGCGTCCGGAGCAATTCTGGGCCGGTATAATGTTGCACAGTTCTACTAAGAGACCATAACTGAACCGCAAATAACCGTAAATTAGATGATATTGTGCGATGTCCATCGATTTGTGACAGAGCGACCTGATGATCACTTGCCGCCTGCCAAACCTTTAACTGAGCCTATATGTGGATATTATAGAATATTAGTACAATGTGCAAGCAGTAGCGGCGCAACACCTTCAATTAAGGGGGGGGGGGAGGCACTGCCGACTTTTGGTCCCATTCTTTCCATGCAACGTCCATAGGGCTAATGTTAAAATGCCAAAATCAAAGGGGACACGGTGCCCCGGTGCCCTCCCCGTTCCGCCGCCTATGTGTACATACAAGAGAGCCTGAATGATAAATAGACTCTCCATTAAAAATTCCACTACCACAAATCATCCATCCAAGGGAACCACGTTTCATCATCATAGAAAAGAAGTTCTTGTATCGAGTAGCTTGACCTCACGTTTTTCAATTTCCGCTTTCAAGACATTTATCACATTTATAACGGCAGGATACGTCCCTTGCTATTCCACTCCGTATATAGAGCCAACATCCTTGATCGATATTGCTAATGTCGTTTAGCGCCAGCCAAACGTTCAAAACACCGTGGTTGCGATATCGTCACAAGGCAGCCTATGTGATGGCACAATCTAGCGAACAGATGCGACAGAAACTGAAAGGCTTATTGAATTGTCGGAATTTCTATTTGCTTTACATTCTTTCAAGCAAGCATGTGTGAATATAAGCGTCAAAACATTTTTTAGTTCTATGGAATAGGCATCCCTCGCCTACTATCTAAAACGTGTCATTGATGAAAGTGTGTCCATGAATAAAAGTGAGTCATTATTAGATATTCAGTTCTCCTGCCATCAACACAAACGAGCATTGCCTGTTTACATATATCTAAAACAGGAAGATGAAACTAAGTAGTCACTAAGATTTCGTTCCATAGTATTGAGCACCTGCAACGTAAAACCAATACAATCACGTCCACAACGCCTCACCTCTCATATAGCAGTAGGCGACGCTCTTCATGTTCTTCCTGGTGAGGACGAGCAGGTTGAGCACGTTGCCGATGATGCCGAGCGCGCAGATGATCGGCATGGCCACGCCGTAGGTGTAGTGCTTCAGCTCCCTAATCGCGCGCATCTGTTCAGTGAACGACTCGTTGAAAGTGGCGGCCGATGGTGGAGTGCAGAGACTGAGGTTGTTGCCCACGGACAGGCTACTCAGCGTGGCAGTCATGACGGCAGTCGGCTTGTGGGCCGGGCTCAGTCGGACTTATCCCTGAAGCGCGTCTGCTGTTCAAGGGACAATGGAGAAATCTGCCCTCCAAAAAAGTGAGAGAGAGATGAGTCCAGTTAAAGCTAGATACACAGACCTGACATCAGTTCCGTGGTTACGACCAGGGCAGGCGTTGTTAAAAGTCTGTGCGCTCAACCACTACTGAATGTTATTGTAGCACGCCAATACCACACCAGCAGCTTCTGCTCCTTAGAAATATCTCAGTTCCATCGAGGCAATGGGCCTGTTAAACGGTCTGCACTTCGCAGCGGGCCCACCACAGTTCTCAGTTCACGCCTATAACTTCCAGAGCAGGGGCTCAGAACGCGTCAGAGGGCGCAGAGGACCTCCTCCACCCAGTCTCGCAGTGCCAGACACTGGCGAATCCACTCGCTAGTCCAGCCCGAGATCCAACCGGAGTCTGTTCCACTAGTGGTGACACCTGCTGAGACACACGGCGGTCAGTAACGTCCCCGATCGCACGTTCAGGCCGGCCGGCGGCGCCCGACTGAGCACGCGGACTTGGTCGCCGCCGCCGGCAGCCTCCGCGCCGCCGACTCAGCGTCGGACGCACGCGTCGACGCCGACGGCCGCCCGCCGTCGCACGCGCCGCGCGGCCCCCTCTCCCCTGGCCCGGGGAGGGGGTTGAGGTTGGCCGTCTCACTCTTCCGACGACACCACGCGCCTCGGGCCGGCCTCAGCCACGCGCAACACTCGGAAAGAAAGAGGAAATATACGGGCGGCGGTGTCTGCAGTTCATCTTACCGGACGGCCAGACACGGCGGAGAAGAGGTCCGAACAGAGAGGCTATCTGGACTCCCTCAACACAACGAGAACGGAAGTCGGGCGCCTCCTCGTTCCATTAAGTTATGACCGAACTGAGAAAACTTTATCAAGTGTTTCATTCTTCTAACAATACAGAGACTGGTATGGTATAAGCTTGGGAATATCTCATTCACCCGTTTGGGTTATTTAAAACGGATGGCTCTCCAGGTTGGTCCCATTGGTATTCCGAGGTTTGCGTCGAAGGATTGATAGTGGTCATTCATTACAGACAGGTAGGGACCAGGTCAAAGACGTGGAACCGAAGGCTAGCCAATTACCGTCACACGAATGCAGGTCAGGCTACTTATGACATCCGTTAGGCTAACACGATACTGTGATCACTAACAAGACAAACATGACCTCTGGAAATGCCATGAGAACTACCTATAGAGCTGCGAAAATGGGCATAATTAGTGGTTCTGCCATCGTCTGATTACACGTTTGGTTTGTTTACTGAGCATAATTGGTTAGGCACGTCATGTCGAGTGAGGACATTGCTGTTATTGTAACATTGGAAGCTGATGAGGAAAAATGCAGTTCCAACTCCGGAGCAGCTCAACACCACAATTAGGTATGTAGGCATATGCGGTTTGTTTAACGAATGACGATTTCCTATCAACCAAATCAGGCTTTGTTCAATGAAATGACTGTCACGACAATACCACTCCAAGCGTGGTGTTAACAAGAGACACATAGCAGGGAGCCTGAGGACGTTCGAATGTTCCACTGAGCACACCTTCTAGTAGGACGTTAATTATATGGCAATGTGAGTGGAAGCTAGAACCACTCTAAGCTTGGAAAAAGGCTGCGTCATTGCTTAGGTGCCAACACACCGGAGCGATAGAGAATTCAGCCACGATTGGCGCGGGAAACTCCACCCCACAGTTTTCATTGCGGATGCGTCATCGTTCCGGCGCACCCAGGGACCTTGCACCGGCCGCCCGTCTGGGGCGCCCACCCCTCGCCGGCCGGCCCGCCGGACAGCTGATGGATGTTCTACCCGGCGCTGGCCGCCGCGGGCAGACAGCTGCCGACACCAGCTCACACAGGCGCGTGCTCCACTTCTGCGCAACGCGTCATTGTGAGCAGGCATGAATGGCTGGACGTCTGAATGGTGTTGTACCAAGAGGCTGCGAGGCTGCCGGTGAATGGGAGTTTTTACGCTAGGTTTATTTGGCGATAGATGAACGAACTTCATTAGCGTATGTTTTCTGAAGCGGACCAATAACGCAGTTGAAATTATGCAAATATTATTTTTTCAGTTTGAAGCAGGGTATCTTCTCTGATTTGACGTAACACAAAAAATGGCGCCTCTCATCCGTATATGTCGATGTAGATCACTGATGGCCCAGTGACCCCCGTTCCCCGTTACCCACCAGGATCCACCAGTCACCGGATGGCACTGCCTAGTGCTCGTTCTCGTCCTCTGGGTCAACTGAGCTTACAGTTGCCCGAGTTTGTGTATGCACCCTGGCCAGTGGCAACCACATTTACAATGGCAACCACAGATCCTTACAACAGGCAACATTGTGCCGTTACTATGGACGCATAGGTCACAGAAGTGTGTGTTGCGAGGGAGAGAGGAGACAGCAGCACTGAGATAACCTCGCTACCAGATGCGCCGGACCAGCCAGCGCCTTTCAGCTGGGGCAGCGTCCGAGGTGGATTTGAAACCCACGGCGGCCAGTTAACCCCGATGCGTGCCGCGCCGAGCCACCCGGCCGATGAATTGTGCGACACAAACATATCACCGTGTCACTGCTGATGGAAGTCAGTCCTGTGTCGCTCACTGGTGTCCGGCACGCACTGCGAGACGGCGTGTAAGCACGGAACGCGAGACGGGTGGACCGGATGGCCACGATAGGTCAGTTCACACTGTCAACACTTGAGTGGGAACGGCCCGGAACAGGGCTTGACTTGGGCCAATCCTCTCGAGGGCAGTGAATTCTAATACACTGTGAAATACATGACGGTAACGCCGCAGCGCGTTCACATTGAGTTTCGTGTAAAGGTCATGTCCGTTCACGAGTCAATTTCTCGCCAAGCCATTCGTCATTCAGTATCATTGTCAGTTTACTGATTAGATGTCAGGTCGTGCAGACATATCTGAAGTATGAGCTTGTTCGGCTGGCACTGGACCTCCTGCTCCACAGACCACAGCCGTCATAAAGCCAAACGATGTATTGTAAGAATTGTCGCGATTTAGGCAGTTTTTCATTACCGGAAAAGGCAGACACATGTAACATGGTCAGGATTCGAGCGATATTTCTTTTCGGAGACGACAGGCACACAAATGTTTCAAACAAGCGATAAATATGACGATGAGCTGACATTTTATGCAATAAATCGCCGCATGTTAAAACTGAAGACACCATGCCCATAAACACATTGGTTACGAGCGTATTCATGTTGTTCGCCTATCAAACTTCACAGAACCAATGCCCCATTTGAGTTCATCTGGCTTCATATTTGGTCAATCAACAGACGATGCATCGACAACTGGTCTGGCCATTTTTACCTTTTTCTCTAGCACTATTCAAATCAAAACACACAACTCATATAAGCTCAATGGATGCATTCCAGCGGCTTCAAAGAACAAGCATAATGACGTCCTTCTCTGCCAAGGCCATGGGTCTAGAGCAAATATCAAAACATAAAATAGACACTGTTAATGAGGTTCACCTCTTGTACCTAACGCAAGCATACAGATACTCGCAATACGTCCACAAATCACCAGCGTTGCGCCACCCAACGCTGCATAAACTGCGGCGTTAAAGTTATTAACAGTAGGTGCCATTTAAGGACATAACCCGCTCTGTCCAATTTCAACAAATGTGTGCTGTTTAGCTTGCTTGTAACGGTTCAGATGAACCACAGATATACATCAGATAGCTTCACACAAACAGACTTGAGACACACATTTAATTTCAGACACAAGTTCAGACGCACGTTGAACATAGTACGAAGGCACAGCGTTGCAGACAACACGACACAGGAATAGTTTCAATCACACTGGCGTCAGGACGAGTAAAGTGCCACTGAAACGCGTCCTACTAATTAAAAAACTAAAACACAAACAATACATTGTTTTACCAAACTTTGGGATCTATACCTAAATGCACGCAAAAATAGCGTGAGCATCAGAATAAAAACTCACAAAAAGTGAATTCAACGCCTGTGGTGCGGGCTATCCTATCACCACTCCACAAAGCCAATTGGCACGTATCATCACGTACATGTTTCTGGCGCATGTCTCAAAACTCTGGAGCTTGTCTTAAAACTAAACAACTGATCGTGTCTAAGACACTCGCGAGGAAGCGAACGAACGGAGGAGTAGACAAATTTAAGGTTTCCGTCACTATCGCGATAAAGGATATCGACGAAAGCGAAACGGAGTACACCGTCACCTCGACATGTAGTGCAATACACGGCTGAGAAGGTCATTGGCGTGTACAGATACGTATCGTGCATGCTGGGTTTTATATGCCTGTTTTGCATACTGAGCCACTGACTGAACAGTTGTACTGCAGACCATGAAGGGGAACGAACCCATCACCACAACGCTTGCTGTGTTATGTGTATCGAGTAAGTTTGCATCAAGGGACGGCCCCTGAGGAGCTTTTCCCACAATGCAACAAACGGTGAATTCACAGGGCAGCACCATCACAAAACAACAACTCACCCTTATACTACCTCTGACGCCAAATCACCCACCGCGTTCGCTTTCTCATAGCGATGGTATGGACCTCTGCTGCTCGAAATGTACGAGGAGATACATTACGAGAGGGGAGACCTACCAGCGCAGACCCAACACCACAGCGGGCGCTGCCGACCACCGACTCTCGCACAGATGGCGTCACTGCCTCAGCTAGGTGACGCCGCAGCTTTGTCACGAAAAAACGAGACTCTCTGAACGGAGAATCGGCGTCGATGGCGTGCGTAAGACAGAGGTGCGTGCAGGAGCCGGACATGGTGTAAAACCGAACCAGACTAGACACGTCATGTAATGAAAAACACTGCTGCATAAAAATTGCACTCTTTGCTCTGACAATCAGCGTCCGACACAGGATCATATTCCTTAACAGGTCAATATCGATTCAGATCTAAACATACAAATGACCCGACAATATCCACTTAAAAATTCATTAATATAACAGATTTGGTGTATAAAAAGTGAAAACGCAGCAACCAGGCTGAATATCAACACCGATTCCATAAAACTACACACAAGTCCTAAAGATTGTCGCACGCATTTTTCATAAAACTACACATAAGTTCCCATTCACCTCTTTTTGTAGCCATGATAAATGCCAGTCTGTGCAGACCACCACAGAGCACTGAGCAGGCCTATCTACATTTTTGCCGACGTATGCCATTTCTGGCTGTAAGATCGAAGCTTACCAGACCACCGCCAGACTGCGACTTATCGTGCCCTCTGTGGGACTAATTCGGTCACTGACCAGCACACAGCACCCCGTGGGCCGAACAGTGTACCCACCTCTGGAGTCACCCCCAACTGATGTGACTGTACCCTTGTCGGTGTGACACCACACAGCCCACCGTGGGCAGGTCGCCGCATCATCCACCCAGCTCTGCCCGCCGGCCGAGACACGGGCCAGTGCTGTCACCAGGGAGAGCAGAGAGAGACGAGGCGGAGGGAGGAGGGGAGGTGGCAATGTACTCACCCTGTCCGTCGACCTGATCCGGCCGACAGTCGGCCGTCCAGAGCCCGGTCAGCGAGCGCAGCGCTCACATGTCCCCCAGAAACGTGAAGCCAGTGGCCTCGTGTTCCTTTTTGTGTCGGCGCTCAGTCTCGCTGGCTGTGTGCCCGCCGGCGGCGGCTCGGCCGGGACTGTGCGGCTGGTCGCGCATCACCTGCTCGTACGAGGGCGGCGGGTCGTAGTCGGGCGCGGCGGCCAGCGCCGGCGCCGAGGACGAGTGGTGCTCGGCCGGCGGCCGCAGACTGGGACTGTCAGCCCAGGCGGAGCGCCGCCGCGGCTCGGTGCCTCCGGCGGCGGACGGCGCGGTCGGGCGCGGAGAGACGGAACGGCTGCGCACGTGGGACCGGTGAAACGGCACCGTGCCCAGCACCAGCGGCAGCGAGAGCGTGATGTGGCGAGACTTGATCTGGGAACGAGGGACACGGTGTAAGGGCGGACGCAGCAGGTAAGCAATCAGCACAGCACGGACGGAACACGAAAACAGGCACCGAGAGAGGGCGTAGTCATATAGTCACTCAGTACAGTACAGGTGGTGATGCGAACACCGTAGGCGAAATGGTGAGGCAGAGCGTATCCTTTTCTTTGCTCTAGTGGCTGACTGCGATGAGGTAGAACGAATACAACATCTCGGTAAAAAGATGACTGTGACGATGTACGGATCCCTGGTCTTACTGGGAGGTAGCCGGTATGTATTCTTATTCTGGAAAAAAACACAGAAAGTAGCTCAAGGGCTTTGTTGTCAGTTACCAGGAAATTTTTACTCCACATTGACATAACATTATACGTAGCTGTATAATGCTGTATAGTATAATTAACCTACCTACTTTGCCGTAGTAGATGACTGATGATGCAGTGCATTTACCCTACCTTCACGTAGTAGGTGACTGAAGATGCGTCACATTTACCCCGCCTTGACGTAGTAAGTAGGTGACTGTGATGTGGTGCATTTACCGTACCTTGACGTAGTAGGTGACTGTGATGATGCGGCACATGACGGCGCTGATGGTGATGCCCTCGTGGCGCGGAACGGTCAGCTCGAAGCGGTGCCATCCGTTGGGCGACTGTCCCGGCTGTACGACAGCCACGTCTCGCTTCTCCTCCCGGCGGCGACCGTTAGCGATACACAGCGTACACTGCCGACAGAGATAACAGTCAGCACTCGGTCAGAGGCTGGGGAGGGGATCTGAAAGATACACTGCTAACAGAGATAGCACACAGTCAGCACTGAGCACACACTTAGCACACAGTCAGATACTGGGGAGAGCAGCTGAAGGGTGCTCAGTGTATACTACCATATCAGCGGTGTGAATGAGACTTAAAGCTGACTCTTTCCACATTTAGGAAATCGCATGCGAGAGCCTATTCATTCAAATACAATTCTTCCCGCATCAATCGCATGCGGGAGAAGCGTGCGATTGATGCGAGCGTGCTTCCATGTAACTGAATAGGCTCTCGCATGCGATTTCCGAACTGCGGAAAGATTCTGTTGCAGGCTTTAAATTCTGTGTCGCTCAGTCCTCCCAGCAGACAGAAAGCCGTCACTAATCCAACTGACATTCATTGAGCGGTGATGCGGGCCCCCAGCTGAGCGCAACAGAGTGACACGTTCTTGTTTGAGTTTGACCACGCACCCGTTTGAGTTTGACAACGCCGGGCGCGTTGAGCTGTTTCCTGAAGAGCCGCTCGGGCCCGTCAATGGTGAAGGAGATGGTCTGCCCTCCGACGGCTGCCTGGGGCGACATGGTCAGTGTGAACCGACCTATCGCGTGGCCGAAGAGCGACTGCTGCGCCTCGGCAGTCACAGAAGCCGGCTCCTGTCGCAGGGTAGGGGCGCCAGTTACACAGGGGATCGCCAGAGGCACGGCAGTTCGCTCAGTATCTGTGTATACCAGAGATGTGGCAAAATTAAAAAAAAAAAAACACACACATACACACACGCATGAGAAAAATAGTCTCACTTTACACGATCGTATTGTCATCTGTACAGCTGACGGCATATTGGTTAGGACTAATGCCATTGTCATCTGACTGGTGGACAAGTCGATATTGGGAAGCCAAGCGCCACTCGGACCGCCGGGAGGAGAGGACGGAAGGCCTGGGGAGAGGTCAGCCCTGCTCACCGCCAGATTGGCCGGCTCGGCGTTCAGGTCGAGCGCCGGCAGCACGGTGAACGTGTACTCGGACTTGCCGTTGAAGGCGAACAGGTCGTGGCTGATGGCGCGCGCCTTGCACATGTAGCTGATGGTGCCGTACTGACAGCTGTACGTCGGCGGCAGGCCCAGGCGCAGCTGGTGCGAGAACGCGTACTGGTATGTGCCCGGGTGTAGCGCCTCCACCGTCGGACCTGGCGCACACGAGGTTATCAACAATCAGCAAACCACAGGTAAGGCAGATTATGGTTTAACCTGTGTCAGATATCAAGCCTATGTCGTCAGCGCGGTAACCTATGTTCATGGCCGTCCATACTGTCAGAAGTTTCAGTTCAAATCGGTCTCATTACTCGAGCCCCGCTGAAGCACCTGATACCCACATTTTGGAGCCGCCTGAAAGCAAATATATTCCTGAGAAAGCCCCATCAGCTGACAGCACATCTCATGCCGTTCGAGAGGCTCGATTCCCACCTCTTATAAAGAAGATGTCCTCCCTGATGAGCCACAGGTCCTCGGTGTGAGTGTGGGTGTGTCGGTTCTTCCCCGAGCCGCTATGAGTCTTCCAAAGGGATTTAGCCAAGCCTCGTACCTTGACTAATACAGCTGAGAAAACGGACACAATGGTAAATCACAGAACACTAGAGTTTTAACACGTTCATATTTTTTGTTTTAACACGTTCATATTTTCTAAGAGTTCGAGCCGCTCCCGCTTATGAGTGAGTGGGGGGGGGGGGGGGACAGACAGACCCTGTCTGACTGTAACCTGGCATTGCGCTATCAAGTAGTATACCTTGCGTCATTAAATGAACTATGAAGGATCATGATGTTTTTACCATTTGTTCTTATATTTCACAAATAAGAGGTAGTTTACTGGTACCATCAGACGCACAATGCAATGGCAAAACTGAAAATACCAAACACTGCATCATTCGCTGCCATACGAAGCATACCAGCTCATTAGAGCGAGCATAGCAGCTCAAGATGAGTTCCACCACACTGCCTAATCATTGGTAGCCTGACTTGCTGCAGGTTTCGTCGGCGCCGGGTTTCGTCCAGAGATTTTGCCAAATGTAAGCATCTACGCAAAACGACCTCTCTTCAGTTGTCCACATCGTAGAATCAATGTTTGACCATTTTCAAACGTGCCACGATGTGCTCTATCACTTCATGAAATATTAAAATATTCGCACGTGCGGGACAAAAAAAAGAGATAAAAATACTTGATGATCCTTCATTTAATGACACCCAGTATACAAGTTCTGCAGTGCTTGGCAAGGGCTCCAGCATTTTAAGTCCGTCCACTCAAACATGAAACTAAATTAACCCGCGGCCCTCGGCGGATGTCCGATCGTAAAGCATTGTACGTTTTCACCTGCACACCTCCACCCCTCTAATTCGATTAGTGGGATGACAGAGTAGCAGCACACTGTAAGTGGTGCCTATCTGAAAGATTTGAAGGAGGTCAAAGTTCAGGTCAACAGAGATTATTCAAAGTCAAATCTTCCAAAGGTTAAATCTTAATTTTGACATTCTTGGATAAATCATTCCCTGAAAGTTTCAAATCACTTATTGTAGCAGATGCAACCATTTCAATTTTTCCTTAAAGCTAGGTGGGAACCTAATTTGATGTAACCTAGTGACCTACCTAATCTCTAATAACTTGGGTGTGAAATTTGCAAAATGTTTAGCCTGCCAAACTACAAAATAACTTTATCTAAAATAGTTGCATGATATAGGTTCCTAGAATCCCTCCTTTGGCAACAGACTGAATTCTAAATTCTTTACCTTCATTCTCAGAAAAATATTACTAATTATCCTTCTTCAAAGGTCAGGCTAGACTATGTGTGATCCTCCAGGAAATTACATGTGCCCTGTTTTGTCAGATTTTGCGAGAAATCCGTAGGTCCGCAGTCCGCAGATAAAGTTCAGCTGATAGGAAATACACTGGGTTGGTTACACTGGGCAATTCACAGCAACATGAGTGACCATATTCAGTGAAGGAAGTCACAGATGGGAATGCCAGGGAATGTCCAGGATATTTGATGAACTAAAAAACAACATTAAGCAAAATTGCACATTTTCATACATAGCCCTCACTAGTTGTCATGCTTGAGTACCTGTATAAGCACATGCTAGTTCACAGAACTTCATGAAACCCGCAGAAACCCACATCAAGAAATCCTGCGAGCACTGAAACACAGACTAGCATGCACATATTTTCCTGGACAGTTCCACATAGTGTAGCTTGACCTTAGCATGTCTGCTTAGAAGGTACCTACCTAATAATGCTACTTGATTTTAGCATACTTACATGAGAGCTTGTGCGGCTCACAGCCACCGATGATGAGCGTCATGACACCATGGACAGTTTCTCCTGGTCGATAGGTGGCATAGCCAGCAGTCTCTCCCCTAAATGAGATGCTAACTGAATGAATACCCATCTCTGAAACAGAAGCAGGGAACATTTACCTGTGGATTCAGATCAAATTTGGGTAGCGCACTTACTATTCTAAAACAAACACCATTTGTATTAACCCGGCAGGCGGTGGGCCTCCCGGCCACCTTCCGCGCAGTTGGGGGCGGGCATTTTTTTGCCCCCCCCCCGTATCTCCGAAGCTACTGGACGGATCCCGGAAATTCAAACGGCGTTCGATAGCCCTGTCAAATTTGTCGTTGGAAACCAAATTTCATTGACCTCGGGGTCACCGATGTCAGTCACAGGTCAGGTCAAAGATAAAATGTTTCACCGTTCACGGGTCTTCTAGGAATGCGCTATAACTTCGAGTAAAACGCATTTTCTCGAAAATCAGCGATTGCCTAGTACATACTCGTATGTTGCTATTAGAGGTCACTGATAATACCAGTTCAGGTCACAGGTCAGGTCACCAAAGGTCAGCACATGAATCCAACTTTACTAAGGTTGTGCGATGCATGTTTTATGGCTGATTTTTCATTTGCAATTCAATGGTGTTGCATCAAATTCAAATGGTGTTGGTTATATTAAGACCATCAGGTACGATTTAAGTCACTTTCTGGTGGAGGTCAGGTAAAAAAAGGTCAAATTTCAAAGTTGATAATTTTGCATAAAATGGGTATTGATTCGATGCAGCTCGTCACAGGGAGTCTAATGGTGGTCTTTGTTTTGCGCTACGTCTAGAATTGCTAAGAATTGAGTCTGAAAATTTAACGTCATCAATTTTAGAGTTTTTTTTTTTTGCTATAACTTGGCCAAAAAAAGAGGTATTGATCTCAAATTTGGTATGTAGATAGAATGCGCTAGGGACTATCACATATATTCCGTTTCTCAAGATTCAAAAAACTTCTTGGATTTTTCGGGGCTTAAATTAAAAAATTATTTTATTTTTATTTTTGGGGGTCAAAATCTGAAAATTTCAAAAATCCGAGATAGCAGTTTGTAGCCCTGTTAATTCTACACCTTTTATGTCTCATACATTTTTCTGTATCTCTAAAGCTGTAGGACTGACAGCTTTTCCAGCAAAACCCTTTTTTGGGTCGAAAATGGCAGAAATGACGTCACTCCGGCATCATTAGCGGCCAACCTATCAGAGCCTTTGGAAAATTTGTGGTCACAATGTGCAAAAGCTATTCATGGGAGGGTACTGAAAGTTTGGTGACAATCGGCGCAGCGTATCTGAAGATACCAAAAAAAAAACTAAAGTGGGGCAAAAAAAATGCCCCCCCCCCCCCCCACCTGGAACGTTACTGCTGTAATATTGAAAATTGTCCTAAGAAAAGAAAACACAGGCAGTCAGCAAAGTAGCACAGCTAGCTGACCACTCAACACAAGCCGTCAGTTTAGTGGAGCTTGAACTTGAACACTGTCACAATCAGTATTGATGATGACTGAACCTAAATTCGAACTTCAGGTGAATAAGAAACTAGTTTGAGATTCAGATTGACCAGGTTCAAGGTTGGTGGCCGCCCATTCACCCATATTTGGTAGGTCAGTTGGGGAAACTACAAGGCGAAAATCCAAAAATTGATTGGTCAATAAATGGACTTTGGATGACCATATATGGGCATATATGGAGCCCCCGCTACTAAGGGTGAAAAACGGTATAACAAGCCGGTACTTCACTAGGACTCAATACCTCAATACCTCAATACGGCCACTAGGACCATAAGAAACCATTTCACGCCACAACAGACCTCAATAACCACTAAAATATATTTTGTGGTCTCTTGTGGAATTTTTTCATGGGATATGGGAGACATCCCGGTTGCACTAAGACACAGGGGGATGTCGTCCCGGTTCTCCCCATGTATTATTCGCCAATCAGCTTAACACTACCAGTGACGTCACTGGTGGATCACCAGTCGCGGCCGGCCGGCCGGGCCCGTAGGAGGCCAAACGCAGACGTTTTCAGAAAAGCGTAAGCCGTATAGATACAGTCTTGGATGGAGTTTTGCTGTGATTCGGCTCTCCAAGAGTGCGTCAGCGGACCAGGACCAGGATAAAGGTCATAGTGAACCGGCATCTGATAAAATCCGCTCACGGTTTAGCAGCCGACTTCGACCCTTCGCCCTCGTAAAATACAAAAGCTTGCCGGTTATCAATCCACCTGCATCTCCTCATCTGCTTACTGCCTATATCGACCAGTTACTGCAGCCGTTTTGGAGCGGCTCACGGCCGATAACACGCCGGGCGTGCGCTAGCCGCCGGTGCTAAGCGCTAACCATTGAGTGCGCGTGGCCGACTGCCGCCCCGATGGCGCTGGCCCCCGGCACCGACACCGGCGCGGCGCCGCTGACCCATGGGGGGGGGGGGGGGGGTAGCTAGAGCCGGAATTGGGATAGAAGCCGGTATGGGATTGGGATGAAAACTCAGCGAGACTAAGGGATTGTGTTGTGCCTTCGGTAGGCCCCCAAAAATCACCGGTGTAGTGCCCTCAGGGCCGCCGGTTATGAAGCCTTTGGAGGCACTGGTGTGGGCCCTCAGAGGCATTGGTGCGGGGTCCCGGAGGTGCCGCTGTGGGCCCTCTGAGGTGCTAGTGTGTGGCCCTCAGAGGCGCCGATGAGGGTCCTCACAGTTGCCATTGTGGGCCCTCAGAGACACTGCAGTGTAAGGTCGTCACAGTCGGGTGTGGGACCCTTAGAGCTGCTGGCTCGAACCCTTTATAAGCCGACAGGGGCTCTCAGAGCCCGACAAAGGGCCCTTAAGAGGTCTGCGGTGTCTTCAGGAGCCCTGTGGAGTCCTCAGAGACCAGCAAGGTACTCTCAGACGCCGGTGGGGGCCCTCAGAGTCGTCGGTGCGGGGCCCTCAAAAGTCACCGGTGACTGCCGATATGGCCTTAAGAAGCACTGGTTTGGGCCTTTGGAACTTCATTCAGGGGTGTCGGTTGAACTCAGAGGTGGCAGTGTGGGGCCCTCAGCTGGGCACCGCTTTGGGGCTTTCACAGCCGCCGGTGAGGGCCCTCGCAGGCGCCGTTGTGGGGGCCTTCAACGAGGGGCGTCGACACCGGTCCGACTTTTCAGACTAGTCGGACCACTTTTTCGACTAGGCGGTGCCCTGCTGTGGCTCGCGGGGGCCCCTGCTGCAGACCGCGGGGGCCCTACTGCGGCTCGGGGGCCCTGCTAAAGACCGCGGGGGCCCTGCTGCGCCTCTGGGGCCCTGCTAGACACCGCGGGGCCCTGCTGCGGCCCGCGGGGTCCCCTTCTGCGGCCGCGGGGGGCCCCTGTTGGGGCTCTCGGGGGCCCTGCTGCGGCCACGGGGGCCCCTGCTGCGGCAACGGGGGCCCCCCGCTGCGGCTCGCGGGGGCCCTGCTGCGCCTCGCGGGGCCCTCGCGACACCTGGGGGCCCCCACCGGTGGGGGCCCCCCGAGTAAAAGTCGGACCAGTTTTCCTTACGCGTCGACGCCCCTGCCTTCAACCATTGGTTTAGGGGGTCATCACAGGCTGAGGCGTGTGTGGAACCCTTAGAGCTGCTGGTCCCTGATATGCCGGTAAGGGCCCTCAGAGGCCGGCAAGTAGCCATCAGAGGTCGCCAATGGGCCCTGGGAGGCCGGCAAGGGGCCCTCAAATGCCGACAAGGAACAATAAAAAGCCGGTGTGTGGCTCTTATGGAGAGAAGTGTGGCTATTGTGTGGCTATTCGGAGCACATAAGGTGTTCTTTCGAGCCCTGTGGGGCCCTTCTGAGTCGAAAATGCCAGCGTGGACCCTCAGCCGCCAATTGGCGTCGCAGGGCCCCTCGGGTCCGAGAGGCCCCCTGATCCGATGGGGGCACGTGCCCCCTGTCCCCGCCCCCCCCTCCGGGTGCAGATAGAGAATGCAATCGGCGGTGCGGGACACAACTGCAATCGTTCCTTCTCCCGTTGCGAGGTCGCCCATCCGACCCATATATCCCAAGATTGTCAACCCTGGGGCTCGGGTCGGCAATGTATCGGCAAGGAAATCAGCTTTAGGTGGGTAAAAAAGTTTTAAGTCATTAGTTGTCGTTACGTTCAGTAATAGCAACAATAAAGTGCCAAATGTACCCGACGTACGGCTTGGAGCCGGGCGCCGCGCGGTATCCACCAGTGACGTCACGCTAATGCTTAGCGACCGGTCCATTGGAAATTGCGGGATGATTCTACCTCTCTTATACGGCCTTGCTAAGACATACCGGGGAGGGGAACAAGGCTCCTTCCCTCTCTGCGCTCTGGGCCCTGTTTCACCGGTGATAGCAGCACGCTGCTTTTACACGTGTCAAATTGGGTTTCCATGGAAACATCAACAGGCCCATTGCTCCAACACTACCACAAGTGTGACGTCAGCTCGCGCAATTTGATAGCAGCGTGGTAGCAGCACCCGTGAAACACCGCCATGTGCAAGGCTATATGACTCGCTCTGTGCAAGGCCGTAAATAATCTTGTGACTATTTGATAATATAGCTTGTGACCTGGCACGGTGACTATAAATAGTGACCTGTTGCTGTTGCCAAACGGTGACTATAAATAACAAATAGTTGCAAACCGCTTCAGCTTGTTAAAGGAAATAGTTCACTTTCACGAAATTATTTTTTTTGCAACGGATTTATGATTTTTTATGTTCAAAATAATCAGCAAAGAAAATAAAACCTTTTTATAACAAAAGATTATTTTCTATATTTTGATATAGGAAGAACTTTTCAGTTTCTGTAAGGCACACGCGATCCAGTATGAAAAGAGCATGGGTCCCGAAAATTCTTCAGAAACAGAGAAATTATCGCAGCCACCGGCATTTGGGCGATCTGCTCGATCTGATAATGTTCCCTGAATGTCCTAATTGATCAGTACGAGAATTTCTCTAGAGTTCTCGTAGATAATTTCTCTAGTTTCTGAAGAATTTTCGGGACCCATGCTCTTTTCATACTGGATGGAAATATATGCAAGGCCAAGGCTGCAAGGCACACATCCTCAACGCAAGACACCTTTTTCGGGACGAGAAATAGAATATCTTTGCCTAGGGTGATCGTTGGGCTGTAAAAGCTCCTGATTTATGCTCGTCTCAGCCCAAGCTACGGAACTGCTATTCCAGTTCAAAACCCATGTCAATGTTAAAAAGTGAACTATTTCCTTTAACTGGCTCAGAAAATCATTGCGCGTCGCTTCTGCCGCAAAGGCGCTGCTTTCAAGCTTTCTCTTTTTGGACAACACTAGTCACTAATCCACTGCTTTTCGGACAACACTATTCGACCGCCACCCTTGCAGCCATTCTATAACTCAGGAACTACTGGACCGTCGGAACGAACGAAACACCATTCGAATCAAGGGGTACGATCTTATCAGCCGTTTCGAAGCTCGTGACCCCAGGTGACCTCGGTGACCTCAACAGGTCTACTCGGCATTGACGCCTAATGCAGCCATTCTATAACTCAGGAACTACTGAGCCGATCGCGACGAAAACACCACCAGTCGAATCAGCGTTTGCGATTTCACCAGCCGTTTTGAATATGGTGACCTCAGGTGACCTCGGTGACCTCAAAAGGTCAACTTTACGTTTTCGCCTATTGCAGCCATTCTATAACTCAGGAACTACTGGGCCGATCGCGACGAAAACACCACTAGTGGAATCAGCGTATGCGATTTCATCAGCCGTTTCGAATATGGTGACCTCAGGTGACCTCGGTGACCTTGGGAGGTCACATGACCGTTGTGGCCTATGGCAGCCATTCTATAACTTAGGAACTACTGGGCTGATCGCGACGAAAACACCACCAGTCGAATCAGCGTATGCGATTTCATCAACCGTTTCGAATATGGTGACCTCAGGTGACCTCGGTGACCTTGGGAGGTCACATGACTGTTGTGGCCTATGGCAGCCATTCTATAACTCAGGAACTACTGGGCCGATCGCGACGAAAGCACCACCAGTCGAATCAGCGTATGCGATTTCCTCAGCCGTCTCGAATATGGTGACCTCAGGTGACCTCGGTGACCTTGGGAGGTCACATGACCGTTGTGGCCTATGGCAGCCATTCTATAACTCAGGAACTACTGGGCCGATCGCGACAAAAACACCACCAGTCGATTCAGCGTATGCGATTTCATCCGCCTTTTCGAATATGGTGACCTCAGGTGACCTCGGTGACCTTGGGAGGTCACATGACCGTTGTGGCCCAGTAAACATGCCGACGTCGGCCCAACGTCGGTTCAACCTCGGCCCGACATCGGCTGGACGTCGGATATGCCCGCATGTTCCGACGTCCAGCCGAAGTCCAGCCGACGTCGAGCCGACGTCGGGCCGAGGTCGTTTGCCGAGGTTGACGAGATCGTTTGTCGTTGGACCGACGGGGCCGACGTCGGCATGTTTATTGGGACAACGCGCCAAAAATATCAACCGGCGGCGGGATTCGAGCCCCATGTCATTTGAACGCGAGGTTAGTGCGCTAACCACTACACCACGCAGCCAGTTAGCGTATTTAGTTTGTTTTGTTGGGTTATGCCCTTTCGGTCTGACAAGACCATTTTAGAGCCGGAAGGATGATAGGATGGAGACATTGGTCTTCTTGGCGAGCACCCTGGGTCCAATTAATATAGAAGTCCCTGGTCCCATTGCTGTTACGTGACACTTATTGGAAAGGGCGACCGCACAATGGATTCATATAGCCACTCTTACACACCTGCACCAACGTTTCCCAAGGTGTCCCTTTGATAAGTGGCACTTTGGCAAAGTAACACTTGCCGACTGGCCTTTCTATATGAACTGGGCCCGGCCCTGGTGAGTTGCCGGGGCTGAGCCTGACCAAAGGATAGGCCGAGCAGCCCCCAAGCACTCACCGCACCCGGCTGCGGGCGAGCTCGGCTTACGGGCAATCCCAAATGGGATAAAGTTTCCTGTCCAGTACGGATCAGGGGGTTGCGGCGTGGAGGAAGATGTGAGTTTCCTGAGGATATTTTAAATACAGAAGCTTTTTATGAAACATGAAACATGCATTTTATATTATTTTAACGGTCAAAACAGCGGCCGATGTCGGTCCGACGTCGCCCCGACGTCGGCCCGACGTCGGCTGGACCTCAGCAATTGATCTCGGTCCGACGTTGGCCCGACGTCGGCTGGACCTCGGCTGGACGTCGGTACATGCGGGCATATCCGACATCCAGCCGACGTCGTGCCGAGGTTGGACCGACGTCGGGCCGACGTCGGCATGCCGATGCCGAGATGCTAACGTCACCCCGACGTTGGCCGACGTCGGGCCGACGTCGGCATGTTTACTGGGCCACGACGGTCATGTGACCTCCCAAGGTCACCGAGGTCACCTGAGGTCACCATATTCGAAACGGCTGATGAAATCGCTTACGCTGATTCCACTGGTGGTGTTTTCGTCGCAATCGGCCCAGTAGTTCCTGAGTTATAGAATGGCTGCCATAGGCTACAACGGTCATGTGACCTCCCAAGGTCACCGAGGTCACCTGAGGTCACCATATTCGAAACGGCTGATGAAATCGCATACGCTGAATCGACTGGTGGTGTTTTCGTCACGATCGGCCCAGCAGTTCCTGACTTATAGAATGGCTGCAATAGGCGAAAACGTAAAGTTGACCTTTTGAGGTCACCGAGGTCACCTGAGGTCACCATATTCGAAACGACTGATGAAATCGCATACGCTAAATCGACTGGTGGTGTTTTCGTCGCGATCGGCCTAGTAGTTCCTGAGTTATAGAATGGCTGCCATAGGCCACAACGGTCATGTGACCTCCCAAGGTCACCGAGGTCACCTGAGGTCACCATATTCGAAACGGCTGATGAAATTGCATACGCTGATTCGACTGGTGGTGTTTTTGTCGCGATCGGCCCAGTAGTTCCTGAGTTATAGAGTGGCTGCCATAGGCCACAACGGTCATGTGACCTCCCAAGGTCACCGAGGTCACCTGAGGTCACCATATTCGAAACGGCTGATGAAATCGCATACGCCGATTCCACTGGTTGTGTTTCGTCGCGATCGGCCCAGTAGTTCCTGAGTTATAGAATGGCTGCCCTAGGCCACAACGGTCATGTGACCTCCCAAGGTCACTGAGGTCACCTGAGGTCACCATATTCAAAACGGCTGGTGAAATCGCATACGCTGATTCCACTAGTGGTGTTTTCGTCGCGATCGGCTCAGTAGTTCCTGAGTTATAGAATGGCTGCAATAGGGGCCACAACGGTCATGTGACCTCCCAAGGTCACCGAGGTCACCTGAGGTCACCTTATTCGAAACGGCTGATGAAATTGCATACGCTGAATCGACTGGTGGTGTTTTCGTCACGATCGGTCCAGTAGTTCCTGAGTTATAGAATGGCTGCAATAGGCCAAAACGTAAAGTTGACCTTTTGAGGTCACCGAGGTCACCTGAGGTCACCATATTCGAAACGGCTGATGAAATTGCATACGCTGAATAGCAATTCTAGACCTCGTAGCGCAAAACAAAGACCACCATTAGACTCCTCGTGACGAGCTGCATCGAATCAATACCCATCTTTTTTTTTTTTTTGCAAAATATCAACTTTGAAATTGGACCTAACTTGACCAGACATTGACCTGACCTTCACCAGAACATAACCTAAACTGGCCCCAAAGGTTGCCTGACCCACATAAATCATTTGCCATGTAAAATGGACCATAAAACATGCATCACACGACACTTTCGTATTGTGACCTTCAGTGACCTGACCTCTGTGACCTGACCTGGTGTCAATGACCTCAGATAGCAAAATATGTGTTATACGGACCATTCCCCCATCGATGATTTTCAATAACATGCCTTTTACTCGATTTTACAAGACATTTCTTGAAATGTCTTGTAACGGTGAAAGTTCGGTGAAAGTTCGACATTTGGCCTGACCTGTGACGTCATCGGTTGAAGCGAGGTCAATATAATTTGGTCACAAGGTAGTTCCGTGTAAGGGCTATCCAATGCCGTTTGAATTTTGAAAATCGGCCGGTAACTTTCCGAGATCCTAGGGGGGACCGAAACGCCCCCCCCCCCTTACGGGTGGAATAGGGTCAACCGATAGCCCTACGGGGCGCGGGTTAACTGCACCTCTTTTAGCAGAAGACTGACAAACATAATGAAATGTCGAACAAACGCAAGGGGTGTCCAACCACCCCCCTCCCGGCCCGGCGCGGGATATGTAAGCATACCTACCATAGCTAGAGAGCACAATGCAGTGACCACCGCGGACGATTCGCCAGCCTACAG